AATCGCGATGGAACATTACGATTTAGTCGCAAAACAGGAGTGCAAATTTGAATGTGTTTGACGAACGGACTAAATCGAATTTTTAATGGCTAAACGAAATTGCGATCATCTCATAAATCGAAGAACGAGAAACGAAATGAGACAGGTACAGAAATTGCAAACGGTGAACGTGTCGAAGTGCGGTACCGGGTCCTGTATCGATGCGAGAACGTAAATATCGGAGGGACTTCTTACTTAAACGAGTGAGCACCCACCGCGAAGAATTTCTTTCTCCCCCTTCCCATGGTTCTCTTTCCTCCATTCACCGGACCGCACACCGCGCCGAACCGAGAACCAGCTTCGAGCGTCACTGACCCATCTTGCCAATTTGTTGTTCCACTGCTTAACAGGTGAAACCGACTACCGCTGTGATGGGAACGAACCCGTCCACTGATCATTACGAATAATAACAATTGTCTTCAAGAGCACTTCGCCTTCTGTTTGTTTCATATTTTAATTCGATGCAATTAAAGCTCTGTTGAACGAGTAAATAATAAATAAGACAAGAACCGTCCCAATCGAATTGTTGCTTACAATCGTTTCATGCGATTCTTCGAGATATTTAAAGAAACTTCGTTTCACTTGTTCGGATTACTAATCCGTGACATCAGTGGACGTTTGAAGAGAGTGACGCGTACGCATATTTCTCTCGATTCGTAGGCGGCACCCATTCGACCCGGAATCCTCTACTACCGTGCGAGTCGTTCCTATCTTCGACGTAACGCACGGTGCGACACAAGTGATTTATTTATAAATGGCGCGTAAAAAGGAATCGGTGTGGAGGTAATATCGACGCTCGATTGAAAACAAGGGAAGACGGAAAAAAAAGATCTTTTAATAGCCCTCCAGAGGCGATCAACGCCCGATGCGACGACTATCGTTCGCAACTTTCGTTTCAGTTACATAGATTCGATCGACCTCGTTTTAACCTTCTTCTTTCTCCCGGACCAATATTATTTTTAACCGCGAACAGTATCATAGGTCAGCTCCTCTCTGCACTCTCTTTAAATTATTCAAATCGTTCTCCGATTCAAAAGAAACAATAGAGAAAATATTGAATTATCTTGATTGCTGTAAAAACGAGATACCGTCGATTCAATCAGTGTCCCTGTCCGTTATTATAAAAATTGTTCTCTGACAGAAATGAAATTATCGAGCATTATTTTCTCTTGTAGTAATCGAACTACGTTCACTATGGAAAACGATTATTTCTAACGAATGTGATTGTAAAGTGATGAGCCGAGAAGAAACGCAGGGAACCGCGGGGTTGAAGCGTCCTTACTATCTCGCTTTACAGTTACATACGCCGGCTGCGACGCGGAGTACGTAACCGAGTTTATCATAAATTTCCGTCACCGTTGATTACGGGTCTAAGTAGCGACCTGCCGCATACCTTTTCCAAATTACGCCTCCTTTGGATCGAATTACAGACCGCCAAGTCTGCGTTACGCGATATCCGCGACGATCTCGTAAACTGGTTTCGCTTATCTTTTCCCCATGCACGATGTATACGCGTGCTACTTTTATCTAAAATGATCAGAGTAGAAGATCGATTCGTGTTTGTCCTCGTCTAATTATAAAATGATCTAACGTTCTCGAGTAAAACTTCGGTAGGAAGATTCGGTCGATGCAAAAGTTCTTGAAATAAGATATTACTTCGTTCAGATTATTATTTATATTTTGTGGAGTTATTCTTGTTTCATATCGTTCGTTTTACGAGCAGATGAATTCCGTTTCGTAGAAGTTGGAAGATCGGCTAGATGGAAAATTATTGGTCAGATCAAAATTATTACTTTTAAGTACAACGAATTATTTTTTACTGCTTGGAGAGCAAGAGCCCTAAATCTACAAACGCTCAGTTCCTTCCGAAACTCGTATAACATAGTAAAAATTAATTTTCCTTTCTTCATGTTGAAAAAAAATTCTTAGACACGAATCGGCGTGATCTGTACGGGAGTCATAACGGTACTTTTAGAATGATTTGCGTAGACGAAGTGTTCCACGGTTTGTCAATGAAATATTCAAAGGACTCGGTCGGTGAACACGTGAGTGTAACGATTGAAAACGGCAGGTATCCAGCCCGAGTCTACACTCAGTTATTCGTTATCGTTATCGGAAGTAGAAAGTAAAATTCTATCATCCGAATTTTTCTACCGTACATTTTCACGGTGTTTGCGTAGAATCGATAATCGGCTGGCGAGGACTGGAGTCGATAAGATATATCAGTTTCGAGTGGTTTCGGACGGTACCCGATCGGAAGGAAAATCTGGTGTTCCAGGTCAGAAGACAACGATCCCAGGAAAGCCAGTTTTCCGCTCGTTCGAACGGTGCTCCGAGTGTCTAGATAAAGTTCAAATCAGTACCGGAGACTGATAAATCGATCCAGATTCCAGGATAATTTCAACTCCGCCCAAAATCTCTGCTTATCCATATTTCAAATACTTCTTTTAGCTGAACACGAACGCCCCTCCTAATTACACACTCTGAACGCCAGATAAATAAATAAGAATCGTCATTTGAAATTTGTTCATGTTCTTTCATTTTACAATTCATTACCTGGCACGCCTATGATCATTGATTTAAGGATGTATCGGCTATACAGTCAATCCCAAAAGTTTATGTACCTTAGAAAAACGCATTTCCTATAATTAAAAAGAAATCAGACGTCGGAAGAATAATGCTAATAATAAATAGCTACGTGCTAAAAAGTATAGAAGGAAATATCCAATTAAGTATTGACGCTGACGAAAA